TAAAAAAAATAAGGAGTGTTGTCAATCGAAGAGATGTACGAAGTGAAAACGATGATGATGAAGGTATATGCTTAATTAAGAGATATCGAGGTAAGTCGTTGGGGTGAAATAGGTTAGCCAATGGACAATATACCCATGTGAGGGGCACATGATGGTATTTTCAATCATTATGTTTAACAGAGAGAACAATTTTATAATTTGTTAATGTGTTTGGCACACACATTTGGTGGTTTCTATCTTTTATCTTTTAACAACAACAACAACAATAATAATAATAATAATAATAATAATAATAAAATAAATGAAAACTCAATCTAAAAAAACTTTGTTTAGGAGTATGAACGTTTAACTTTTACTTTAAACACAAAACTATAAATCTAAAAACTACTTCATGTAACGTTTAAGAAAAAACTATTGAGCTTTTGTAATCAATAAGCCAATTTTTTTATTAAAAATAAATTTATATATTTATCTTTTTTAAATAGTTGTCCTTTTAGCTAATTTTTTATATTTTAAAAGTTTTAAACTACTTTTATCAAAAATTCGTATAACAAATAAAAATTATAGTTTCCAACAACCATTTACTCGTTACCAATTACCTACTTTCAGATAGTTTTATCGAACACGCTTTAAAACCACCAATTCACGATGTATCAACATTTTAAAAAGTTGGACTAAATATGCAATTATATTCAAACCATAGAAATCAAAACCGTCACTTATGTTTACATATTTCTTCTTTAAAATTATTGTTTCCATCCGTTTAATTTTAATATTCTTATTCTGTCCTCGATTCCAGATCCAAATAAATTATTTTAAATTAACCAAATCAACTAAAAATACAACCAAAATCTAATCCATAGCCTTATCCAACAACAACGTTAAAATTATTGACATCAGTCGTCCTCACCAAAGTTGCAACTTGCAACATAAAATCATGTGCGTAAAATCCCACTATCATAAACCACCTTCCAAGAAATCACCGTTTTCCTCATGTCAACCAAAGTGGGGAAAATAGATTAATAATCCGAACCAGGTGAATGAACCTTTCCCAATTCATCCACCTATATAAGCCTCTCCCTATCATTAATCATCAATCGAAAACAGTATCAGATTTTGTTCCGAATATAAACTAACTAGACTTGAAAACATTTGATTCGATTTTGCAAAAGAGTGATGGGAAATAATGGGTTTGATTCCGATTTTGCTCTTCTTGAGTCTATTCGCCGACATCTGTTAGATGATTCCACCATGTATTCCGGCGGTGGAGCTCCACCGATGAGTTGCCGGACCAACACCCTGTTTCCTTGCTTGTCGGACACCTGGGGTGAATTACCCTTGAAACAGAACGATTCTGATGACATGTTAATAGCTCGGTTTCTTCACGAAACGTTGGATTTCGAGAGCCTCCTGTCGCCGGGAAAGACAATGATACCAAACATTGCCACTGTTAAATCTGAGCCGGAGGTTTTTGTGGGATCGCCTGAGATTTCAAGTTATGAGAAAGGATCACCGCCGCAGACGGTGGGAGTTGATGATGTGACGCAACAGAAGGGGAAACATTACAGGGGTGTGCGGAGACGGCCTTGGGGGAAATTCGCGGCTGAAATTCGGGATCCGGCGAAGAATGGTGCTCGGGTGTGGCTAGGGACGTTTGAGACGGCGGAAGATGCGGCGTTTGCATATGACAAGGCGGCGTATAAGATGCGTGGTTCTCGTGCTTTACTAAATTTCCCACTTCGAATTAATTCCGGTGAGCCGGAGCCGGTTCGGATAACCTCAAAACGGAGAGCAACATCGCCGGCGAACTCATCGGAAGATCGATCGCCAAAGAGGACAAAGAAGGTGGAACATATCCACGTGGAGAATAGTTAGTGGTTGATGGATTCTGACTCTTACTGTGGATTACCTTTTTTTTTTTTTTTTTTAAATCGTATTTTATCGTGTAAATAGCTGTTTTTTGTGCATAAATGACAAATTTATTATTTTTTTATTCATACAAAATCCAACTTATTTTCGATAGTTGCATCTTTTCCTTAACCTCGACATTCTTTATACGAAATACTATTAAATATAACTATCTAACTCGTTTTTTTAATATAATTATCATATATATTTTTAATATAATTATCATATATATTTTTAATATTCATGTTGTGTTACAGTATTTGTAGAGTTGTTATATGTTATAATGTTTGATAAACCAAAAATTAACATATAAATTATCATTTAAAAAAAATTACTTATATTAGTTTTTGAAAAGCTTTTTTAGAAAATCTTGAAATATACTCTTAATTAACTATAAAGATTTGATCAACTAGCTTATTCGGCTAAAAGCTAGTTTTGTAGGTATCAATTAGTTTTTAATTGTTATATGACTTTTCAGTTAATGGGCGTGTTTGATATGAAACTTTTGCAAGCGTTTGAGAACTTCTAACTTTTAGTTTTTGATAAAACGTTTTAATTAAACAAAAAGATCTGTTTTACAGTACGAACATTTAGCTTTTAATTTTAACAAAACGTTCCGATTCTAAAAACTACTTCATGTAGCATTTAACAAAAAACTTCTGATATTTTAAAATCAATTTTCATAATTACCCTTAAAAATATATTTATATATTTATTTGTTTTTAATCAATTGTCATTTTATGTAATTTTATATATTTCAAAACTTTCAACTACTTTTGTCAAACATTCATATAGCAAATAAAAGTTACATCTTCCTGTTACCAGTTACCTGTTACACGTTATCAGCTATCCGCTACAAGCTAATTGCTACCCGCTTCCAGCTAACAGCTACTTTTACAAAACACGCCTAATGTATCAAAGATAGCCTTGAAACATATTCAATATTACTCGAACTCAATACAAGCCATTACGAAAAATAGTGCACAGTTGTTGAAGTCAATTCTAGTTTGGCATAATAAATGGAGGCAAATACGAGTGACAACATAACTATATATTTATGCATTATTAAACATGTCAATGTTTTTTTAGCTTAAGATCATGATAATATTTGATCAAGATAATCAAATTAGACGGGAAACAACTCAAACATATAAAAATATTGTTGATATAGATGATAGATCTACGATTTTTTTTTCTTTTTTGAACAACAAAATGCATTAAAGAAAATCAAAACCAGGAGGGGTTGGAAATAGTAAAGAAACAATACAGAAATGAGCAAAAACAAAAAACAAAATGAAGCTGAACTACAAGGCCATCTAAAATAGGATTGCAAAATGAAAAATGAAATATATAATAATATATATTATAAATATCTATAAAACTACGATTTAAAAGAATTTGTCTGTTAGCATTAATATATATTCTAAATATCTATAAATATATATTCATAATAATTAATACTTTTTATCCCAATGTTTCTAGAAGGTGACGCAAGATATGATTAGATTTAGCATATTACACGAATGATCCCTATGGTTTAGAGTAATTTGCGTGTTTGATCCCTAACTTATTTTTTTAATTCAGAATATTCTTACTATTTATTTTTATTACGCATTTGGTCTTTGTATTATCCAAAAAAAGGTTTTTTGCCATTAATTTTTTAATTTATTTAAATAAACACACCCCCAACCTCCACCCACCCCCTACATACCCTATCATTTTTCTTTATTTAAATAATAATCTTTTTAGGTAAGATAATGACGAAACAACGAAACGCATAACAAAAACAAACAGTAGGGACCAAACACGTAATAAAAACAAATAGTAGGAACTTTCCGAGATAAAAAAATAAGTTAGAGACTAAGGGTGTAAATTACCCCAAATTATATGGATCATTCGTATAATTTACTCTTTTATGTTACGTCTAAACATTACAATATCGATGGTATACAGTATACAAATTCCTATAATTATTGAAGCTTGGATAAGGTGTATGTGTAATCGAGCCAAGTACTTGAAACCCCACTAGACTAAAAAACCCAACCTCGGCTTGATAATGCAATCAAAACTTTATTAAAAATATAAAATTACATTAAATTGAAATAGAAGTATGACTATGCTCATGAGCTCGACTTAATCCAACTTGATTATGTAAAAGATGAAAATAATAATAATAACTTTAATAATAATAACTTTAATGATAATAAATAAAGGGTAAAAATATTTCAATACTCAAGCTCAACTTGATAATATACTCGAGTTGGTCGAGCTCGAACTCGATTCAGTTTGAACCAAGTCGGATTTCGAGCATTTTCCGAATCAATCTCAAGTATCTCATAAGCTGGTTTGATTCGATTACACTCCTAATGAGGTGTGTGGAAAAATGATAGTTATAGATGACAGTATTCTCCGAAAAACACAAGGCATGACAAAACCTTGAAACTAGTTGATATTCACATATTTTATCATACTTTATGACTTTTTGATGTTGTTGAAGTTTATATAATACAACGGACTAGGGTCCATAGTGGAAGAATATCTCCGAAGCCCCTTCTATTTATTTTTTTACTTTCCAACCCTATATTTCCAGTAGCTTTATCAATCAAAATATTATCAACTTAAATAATCTTCTATAATTGACAAATTATAAAAGTTTTTATCACATTAACTAATTTAACCATGTCTTTGTGAAATAGTTTATAAAATCCACTCATCTAATTTTTTTTTATTTTTACTATTTAAGCATATGTGATATTTATAAAATTAAAAGCGTAGTTGATTATAAAATTAAATAAAAACAATAGTATATTACATGAATGGTCCCTACGGTTTGGGATAATTTGTACGCTTGGTCCCTAATTTATTTTTTTAAATCGGAAGGTCTCCATTATTTGTTTTTATTATGCACCTGGTTCTTTATTGTTTTTGTTAGGTGCTTGATTCTGTCTTACCTAAAAAGACTATTATTTAAATAGAGAAAAACGGTGAGGTAAGTAAGGTAAGGTGAGAGGCGGGGTCGGGTTAGGGGTGTGTTTATTTAAATAAATTGAAAATTCAAGGGCAAAATAGTCTTTTTAGATAAGACAGGGATCAAACGCGTAACAAAAACAAATAGTAGGGACCTCCTGAGTTAAAAAAAATTAAGAACCAAACGCGCAAATGACAATAAACCATAGAGACCATTCGTGTAATTTACTCTTAAATTTAAGAAAATATCATTGGAATATTTATTTTTCATTTATGGGCTAATGTCATAAAAACCCTCGAATTTTTAAGAAATGTTTGGTTATATCCTAAGTCCAATTTTATGTCCACAACAACCGTATATTTAGGCAAAAGTTGTCATAATTGCCTTATTTTTCAATTTTACACTTCTATGACATTAGGGAATGTTTGGTTCTAGGATTAGAATGTGTTTTGTTTGCTCACTCTTTTCCTTCCATCACACTTTTCTCTCGATCTTTCCATATTCCATCACACCAATTCATCTGTTGCTTCAGCAATTCTACAAGATGATGGCTAGCTTGTTCTTTTGAATAATAAAAAAGACATGGTCAAAAATCTCCAATTACGTTCATGGACAAAAAACTTATGGAAAGTAGTTTGGCAAGTTGTCGAGAATCAATGTGATGTTTTCGTAACTTGTGGGTTGATCGGAATTTGTGCGTTTAACGAATCGAGAATTCCAGTATGCAAATACCCATATTCTCTGTCCTCTGTTCCTTCTTCCAGATGCTTGCTTCCATATTAACGAACCTGCAAATCCGGTTCTTCAATCATTAAGCTCGATCATACCTCATCATTATACGCTATTTATCCACCTAAAGAAACAATCATCTCCCAAATCAGCTCTAACCAGTGTCAACACTTATGGAACAAGATCACCTCTAAGCCTAGAACCAAACATCCTCTAATTCCATAGAAGGGTAAAATCGAAAAAATGGCAATTATGATAATTTTTTCCTAAATATACGGTTTTTGTGGACATAAAATTGGACTTAGGATATAACCGACCATTTCTTAAAAATTTGAGGGTTTTTATGACATTAGCCCTTCATTTATTCAACGAGTAAAGAACCTGTGACTTGTACGACCACGTGCAAGTAGTTAATGCACACGAATAGATGTAGCGACAAGAGTATGGTCTGGTAAGCCACGAGGCAAGACTTCCACATTTATACATCAAAATTTCTAAGTTAGATGGGAGATTTCTCAACCAAGATGTATCTGAGCGTGCTATCAAACTTACAATATCAAATCATTAACAACTAAGGATTGTTAAGATAGGATTTTAACTAAGTTTATTTTTGGTTTTGCAAGATCCTAATTGAAAGATTCTATCAAAGTAAAGTAGTCTTCAAATTTATTTTGCAATGTCGTGTGTCCAGTACACATTAAAATTGATATTGATTAAAACATCGATAGTGGAACTTCGACTTTTTAAACAAGAAACATAATTTTTGTTGCAACAAATTACAAAAATTAGAAAGAAAACATCAAAAATAGAAAAAGAAACAATGTAATTGTCATCATATACAAGTAAAGACATAAGATCATATCAAGAATATCATGAGGATCACGATGTTCTGTTTAATTCAAGATAAATGGATGAAGTAATATGACATCCCTTATTTTCCAAAGGGATGATGTCACTGTAGCACAATGAACTTTTATGATTTGTCCGAGTTGACCAATAATGTTTTTTTGTTGCTCATAAGGTCGTCTAACTTTTACTGTATATGTCAATTAGGTCATTATCGTTAGTTTTTAACCATTCCTCCGTTAACTAGTTATCTAAATTACATGAATGACCCCTATGGTTTAAATTACTTTCGTAATCAGTCTATATCAACCATGTTTTAAATCACTCAACTAAAACTACGATAATCCTGAAACTCTAGGCACCAAAGTGTAACCTTGTTGTTATGTTTTGAAAATTGAACAAATGAAATTGTTTTACAAGTGTT